CATTCGTTGTCTATATAATGAATAGTGACCCCGTAGTAACTCCTACCAGCAATTGACGTCCATCCATCAATGGTAAATGACATTTTAGATGAAAAGACATAGAAAAAATGTACCATACAGCCTTTATCGATTTTATACTTTGTGTTATCAATTTATGTTGGTAAACATTATTAATTTTTATTCCCCGTTGGTGACACTATCTGTTAAAATAATAGAGCGCTTAATTTAAAACACTCAAATAATATATTTTAAAAGTCAAGAACAATTTATTTCTTTCATCAAAATTTAATTAAACTCTCATGAGGAGTGCATTTTTTGGTTTTTCCAAACTGTTTTATTTTAACAGGCAGCATAAGTCAAATGTAAAGAATAAAAAAATTAAATAACACCCATGCATTGAATAAGGTGTTCAAACAAATAAATGTTGATTTATTGATTGATTACTTACATAAGTAAAGTATCGTGAAACAGTAATAATAATAATAATAATAATTCTTTATTGAACACAGAAATTAAAATAGAAAAATTACTTCGTTAAAGTAAAATTTAATTTAACGAAGCTTAAAAAAAATACAAAATAGTATATAAATACTATAACCATTTACATAAAATAAAATAAAAATACTGATGTATTTACAAAATCATAAACTTCTAACAGATAGTCTATTTATTAAACAATCAATACTTAACATGTCAAAAAATTTGATTTAAATATTATAAGCTCAGTAACTAGTTTACTATATCATGCACCACATTTGTAGTTCACAATTATTTAAATGTTAAAAAAAAATATTATCGCAATGATATTTGTCACAACTATAACTACTATAATAATATAATAATAATAACTATAATAACCTCGTGAAAGTAGAAACAGATAAGCGAACAAAATACCTGAACCTGGCTCACGGGGTGACCGACATGTGGGGTGGGCTGTCGACCGAAATTATACCTGTAGTAATTTCTGCAAACGGGCTAATCCCAGTTAGCCTCTCGGGTCATCTGAGACGACTGGGACTAAACTTCGTGCAGTGGCGAAGCTTCCATAAAAGCCGAAAAGCCGGGCTTGGCTTATTAAAACTGAATCAATCAATAATATCCACTAATAAAATAACTCGTAAAATATTTCAAGCTATTTCAAATTTCCCGCGCACTCCACTTTTCGACACATGTCGACTGATGACCTCGTATTGCCTTAGCGATACTGCTGCTGTCATAAAAAATTAATTTTAATAGAGCTATTAGTTGTCTCCCTCGCTTCCGATGGGCTTTTTACGGGGCTTTCGAGAAGACGATCGCTCTCTTCCTAACCTATGGCAAAATATTCTATAATGAAATATAACTACGATTGTATATATAGCAATTAGTATAGAGATTTAAAGCCAGGCTTTTTGGAATAAATTTGTTAAAAGCGGAGGCGCGCGGGCAATACTTTTGCAAGTTCATTTCACGTTTCAATGTTTATTTACTCTGTGTGCTTATCTTAAGCGATTTAATATTACGAGTTCAAAATTTATGCTTTTTTAAAGATTTTTAATGAAAATGGAGGATAATAGTGTTCCTTGTGATGAATTGAAGTGTGTTAAAGTGCTAATCGGAGAGGAAATCTTTAAACTTTGTTGAGATAATACACAAGGTTAAGAGTGTATTTCAGACTTATCAATTATCGCAATAAAAAACAGTTATTGGTACAATTAAAACCTTCACCAATATTTTACGTGGACGTAATTAAATCTTTACATAAGAAAGCGAGACGATTCCACTTATCTTATCTTATCTCTTATCCATTAGAATGTAAATAATTTGTTTTTTTTTTAATTTTGTACTTAATTTGTTTGTACTTTGTTCATGTTTTACTTTTGTTCATGTATTGTATTGGATGTAAATATTTTTTCTTTCGCTTAAACAAACCCAAACGGCTTTCTTCAAAGCCACCGAAGCTATGCAATTGCTGATATGTAATACAATCTATCTAGCAGTGGTATGCCTTCTATGTGCTTTGTTAAACACGTCCTTGACAGCACTGAATATGAAACTGAAGTGTGGAGACAGATCAAGATTGGTGTATTTTTATAAAACTGCTAAAAACAACAATCTATATTTTTATTAATTTGTATCTTGGGCTTGCCCTAGCTTGGAGCTCTAGCTTCGCCACTGACTCCGTGACGGACTGCTCCAGGCTCAAATGCAGAAGGCGGTGCCCGCATTGTCCGCCGGTTTCTTTCCCTTTCCCTCTAACCCTCGGCCGTTTCGTCTCCCCTGCCGAGGGCTTCCATCTGGTTGGGCTTTTATTTATGTATGTATTTTTATATATTTGTTTTATTTTATTGTTATTTATGTATATTTATCATTTTCGTTCGCAATTATATATTTGTGGAACCCAACCAGATGAGAAAACTATATAGATACCCCATAACTATAATATTTTTTTATATAACAAAATTAACATGCGAACAGTTATTTTAACCTTTACATTTTTAGACCTTTAATATTTGTAGAAACATTTTAAGGCACCCCATAAATATATAGTTTTTAAATAAATTCTTAAAAGAACGTCCGCAAATAATTGTTTAAAAAATAAAGTAGGCGACTCAAACTTTATCGTTATATCTATTGTATATATAACGGCTCCAAAGTTTTTTACTTTTTGTTTTATATATGGCCTTTTGTGCTGAGTAAGGTATCGTTCACTTTGTCAAAAGGCCACAAATTACAAGTTTTCATGTAAACCTAAATGTTTCTGTATCTATGTTACTGACGAAGGAGTGAGTACTTCAGTAGTTTTGCTTAAAAACGTGCATCTCATTAAATCTATTCGCATAATATGAATATCTATTCATACCTTTCAAAATTTGTACAAAATACCTAGTTCGTCCTCACCATCAATAACATCATCATCATTGACAGCTCCGTGGCGCCGTGACTTAGAAATGAGGTGCAACTCTAATGCCCGTGGGTTCGGATCTCCCTCGGAACAAGTATTTGTATGACCTACAAATTATTGTTGCAGGCCTGGATGTTTGTCGTTGTAAAATTTATGTGTGTTAACTGCCTTAAGATACCGGAGAAAATCCAGTATGAAGGTAATGTTTTAACAAGAAAAAAAAAATACAGCTCATCACAAGTCAACAACAGAATTTTTTGCATTAAGCAAAATGCCACAAAATAATCAATCCACTTCTCTATTTTTATCATGACCTTTGTAGTATTTAGAGGCGGTCACTCTACTTCGCAATTTTTTTTTATAGGATAGGGTGACAAACGAGCACACAGTCCATCTGATGGTAAGTGGTTGCAGTGGCCCATAGACATTTACATCTGTCCTCGATTACAAATCAAAATGCAGATGCGTTGTCACACCCGTGAGGACTAAGAAGAAAAACCTCGTTGCCAGTAGAAGGGTCTCCAGTTCTCTACACTCACCATGCGAAACACAGCATTTAACTGCTATTTTACGCTGGTATTCTGTGAGAGCGTGGTCGTCCGTCGGTCGAGTCGACCCATTCGTGCTACAACTATACTACTAATATAACTGCAGCATGGCCCTACCACGTATAAAAATTGGTACGAGTCTACCACACAGGGGAATAATATATGGTGCCTTAGCCCCACACTCTATAGCTCATTTAAAAATCCACACACGAAACCGTTACCGTTACAGCCTATTAAAGTCCACTGCTGAACATAGGGTTACCCATTGCCTAATAAGCACTTGCCAAAGTTGCCACGCTTGGTAAGCGGGTTGATTGACCACCGCAGTTCTTTTTTTCGTCGTTATTAGAAAGACGCTGCTGCCCTATATCCTGATTTGTCTCCCTCTGTCGCCTCTTACGACACCCACGAGATGATATGGGGTAGTGGATATTGTTACACCGCCACTACTCGGTACGAAGAATAATAAATGAAAAAGAAAACTAAATTAGTAAAGTAGCTCTATAAAAACCAAAAATATGAATTTTCAGCAGTCCGCTTTTACAAAACTTGCCTCTCTATCACGAGCCTCGTGAACTTATGCCTGTGTTAATTTTTCTCTGGTTTGTGGTTTTTAGCTTGTAGATAGGTAAGCTTCTAAATGAAATATTTTAAACGTAATTGAATAAACGTATAAACAATTTTATAAATTTTTATAGACATGTTAAAACATAACTATATTTATATCTATAGTGTATTTAAAGCTCTTTATACTCTACAAAACACCTACAAATAATATAATAGCAATTATATTTTTAAGCAAATATTCTCGCTGTCTTAAAAAAACTTAAAAGAACGTAACTGAAACTCAACAAAAATATTTCAGCTTCGCCAAAATACGAGTACTTCAAAATAAATATTTCTACTTTATTATTTAAATCAAAACCTTTATAATTTAATAAACAATAGATACGTAAATAAGTATTTAACGTTTTAGTAGTGACATGAGTCTTTATTAAAGTCGTACGTAAGATCAAAATACGTATATTATTTCATCGATTAACAATTAATTCGCTAATTAGTTAACGCTACAAATTTTCTCGCAGTTTTACGCTACAGTGTTAAATGTCAAAAATTTCTAAATTTACTCTTTTTATTTTTATTTTCCATAATATAACAATTATGAAAGTATTCTAAAAATAATTATCTACATATACATTATACAAATAAATAAAAAATACATACATGTAAATAAAAAAAACTGTCTATCTGTCCGGGCTAATATCCGGAATAACTAAACGGATTGTGCTGAAACTTCAAGGACGGATAGAGAGCAATTCCAGGCGTGACCGAGGCCATATTTTATCCTAAAAGCTTTGAGATATTTTTGTGACATAGAACATTCAATAAAATGATCTTTGATGATTCCCTATCTATAAACAACTCACCCCTTCCAGCCGAAGCCAGAGCGAGTCGCTACTTATAAAATATAATGTGAAACAAAACATTTGTATCATTGTCTAGACGAGTTAAAGTTAGCCTTTTTAAATAGATTGCTATCATAAATATAGTATCAGAATATACGGTTTTCATTCTTGTTCGAGCTTCTCAGGTACAAGTTCGAAGTTCCTTTCGCGGTGATGCGACTTCTTTACTCTGTACTCCATAAGTTCTATAATCGTATAACCGGAAAAACCCAAGATAAGTAGACCGAGGAGAATGTATAACCTGAAATGATTCCATTATTTAGTGCACATTTTTAAATAAAACACGACGTTTTTATGTGAGCTAAGCTAACATGTGGCTAATTTATTCCTGAAACACGAATAGGTAGCTCAACCGAGGGTGCACGAGTGGTACGAAGTGTGTATAAATAATAACGAAAAGGGAGTCCCTTTTTAATGAGTTAAACATCTTAGTTTCATTTGATTCTTAATCGATGATATATGTTAGTAGATGTGTATGAGACACATACACTTATCATTATTACTTTGTAAATGAATAAATAAATTAAGAAAAAATAACGTGATAACTCAAGGTCTGGACTTTTTAAAATTTATAGAAATTGAGCAACCCACCGGCATTAATCGGTAATAAAGTGTTCTGTATTAAAACTGAACGTAAGAACCATGAACGTATGAAGAATTAGAAAAAAAATATTTCAAAGAAATTTAAAATGCGCTAAAACACATTGGAGCAGATACAGCGTATACTTCCTTGCTCATAACCCTCACAGTAGATGAAAAGGGCCTGTGCTCAGCAGTGGGATGTATTTTCAAAAGTACACTGCTGAATATTCCACAAAGATTGCCTCATAGTGGGCGTACCATAGTCCCACGCTTGACGGGTGGATTTGACCCACTTTTATATTATTCTGAGTTTGTTTTAAATAAAAAATAATAATAATGATATTTAATAACATACTCGTATTACTAATATTCCCTTTCACTACTCCTGATAAGCTTAAAATGCTTGTTTACGAGTGGTTTACGACAATAGTCGGATGGCAGATCCGATTATTTAAGTTGTTATCAAGGAGAACCCCACCACTACTAGCCGACGTAGTTGATTATATATATATATATATATATATATATATATATATATATATATAATCATCATCATTACAGCCCTTCACAAGCCCACTGCTGAACATAGGCCTCCCCCAAGTAATGCCACAAAGCACGGTCCTGCGCCACCTGCATCCATCGACTTCCTGCATGTCTTACCAGGTCGTCACTCCATCTAGTGGGGGGTCGCCCTACACTACGCGTACCGGTACGAGGCTGCCACTCGAGAACCTTTCTTCCCCATCGGTTATCGGTTCTTCGAGCTATATGGCCGGCCCATTGCCACTTCAGCTTACTAATCCGTTGGGCTATGTCGGTCACTCTGGTTTTACTGCGGATATCCTCATTTCTGAGTCTATCACGCAGTGAAACTCCGAGTATAGCCCTCTCCATAGCCCGCTGAGCGACCTTGAGCGTCCTCATACGGCCAGCGGTGAAGGACCACGTCTCAGATCCGTAAGTCATCACTGGCAACACGCACTGGTTATACACTTTAGTTTTCAGAGATTGAGGTATACCTGACGAGAAGATGTGTCGTAATTTCCCGAACGCTGCCCAGCCGAGTTGAATCCGTCGATTGACCTCTCGGTCGAAGTTGGACTTACCTAGTCGGACTATTTGTCCCAGGTAAACGTACTCATCAACAACTTCGAGCATAGTGCTCCCAACAACTACCGGCATAGGTGTGACATGGACATTAAACATGATCTTTGTTTTGTCCATGTTCATCTTAAGACCTATCCGTTGGGAGACACCATTGAGGTCATTGAGCATAGTGCTAAGGTCCTCCAGCGATTCTGCCATAAGGACTATATCGTCGGCAAATCGAAGGTGAGTGATGTACTCGCCATTGATGTTAATACCGTATCCTTTCCAGTCCAGTAGCTTGAAAACGTCTTCCAACGCAGCGGTGAAGAGTTTCGGGGATATAACATCAACCTGTCTTACACCTCTCTGCAGTTGGATAAGTTTCTTACTCTGGTTTTGTACTCGAATTGCCATCGTAGCCCTACTGTACAAACACTTCAGCACTTCAATATACCGACATGTGTCGCCTGAAATCATCATCATCATATATATATGTAGATGGTATAATATATATATATATATATATATATATATATATATATATATATATATAAAACATATATTTTGTTTCTCCCACACTAGGATTTTCTCATGTATCATGTGGCAGTTTACAAGCATAAATTGCACAACTACAAACATCCAGACCCGAAAAATTTATTTATGGGCCATACAAATACCTGTTCCGTGCGTGATTCGAACCCGCGGAGTCCTCAACTCAATACTAAGCCACTGCGCCACGTAGTTGTCATATGTATATTCCTATATATAAATAATATTATTATAAATGTATAGCTTTTAAATATATTATATAGTCTATATATTTATAATAGACTGCAACTTACCTTGTCCTTACACACAGGTAAGGAGCGGAAGCGTAAGCCAACACGCTTCCTGTTGATTCCCAGAGTCTGAAATTCGAGAAGGCAGCTTCTTCATCGCCAGGGAAAAGAATGCCGGATAGAGCTGTAAAAGAATACGTTTTAAAAAAGTGAGATTATAGATAATACAGTGTTACATAAAAGTGTTCACCATTCAGACTCGTTGGTCTAATGGATGTGCGCGCGACTGCTCATTCCGGGTGCCAAATTCGGATCCGGGATCAGGCCAAAACCAGTTATTGGGTTTTTCTGTCAAGAAATTCTTATTAGCAGCTCGGAGTCCGGAAGTTGCCGGTGTTTCAACAATGTACCTCGGAAAGCAGTAGGTATTGCACCTGATCTCTCTACGATCGTATCAGGTTACTGTCCCATCGGACTATGACAGTGAGAGCATAAGGAGTACACCTATCCATGGACACTCGTGCACCTTCTGTCCTGCGCAAAGAACTAGTCTCTGTTATGACTGGCGGCTGTGACAAAAAATTCGGTTTGGAGGACATTATTATTGTCATTTTTATTCAATATAGTAACTTACGAGAGTACTTAATCATTACATGTATACGATACGATAATCATATTACGATATACGTGGTAAAGTTACGCTGCAGCTGTAATATGATTGTAGCACGAATGGGTCGGTTTGACCGGGGAAGGACCAGGCTCTCACAGAATACCAGCGTAAAATAGCAGCTTAATACCGTTGTGTTTTGTATAGTGATTGTAGAGATCCATAGACTCTTTTTTATTGGAAACGAGGCATTCTATCTTAGTCCTCAGGGTTGACAACGCATCTACGTATTGATTCTAAATCGAGGATAAATGTAGATGTCTATGGGCCACAGCATCCATATACCATCAGATGGACTGTGTGCTCGTTTGTCACCGTTATTCTATAAAAAAAATCAAAGTCACTGCACGGCGATTACTACACAATACACTACTACAACATTACCCACACACTTATACACAGCGCCACTGTTATATCCGTTACTGCCTATCTAAAGTTCTCCCCCTTAGGTAGCTCATAGGGAATAGTTGTCATAGCTGCAAGGCTAAGCATCTCCTGATTTGTTTCCCCTTATCACCAACTTACATAAATAATTGTAAAGCGTCTCCTTACAATTAATTATGTAAATAAAACCGTTCTGTACAATTAATTGTGTAAGTCTTGATCAAACAATGTACATAAGAAAGAATTAGTATAAATATATATGTATCGTTGTAAGGAAAAAACCCGTCTATTGATTCCCTTACCATTAACCTGTACAAGCCACACGGCGTCGGCAGCGCCCCATATTGCCGCGAGTATGAAGAACACCAACCACTGGTCGGGACTAGGTCTCCATAACAGCAAACTTGTTATCAAGCATAGGTTCAAAATCTGGAAATGGAGAATTTATTACGTAACATTAATTATAATTAGTTATAAAAACTATTATCCTATTTCATCCCATAGGTGTTGTAAGAGTGGAAATTCCGGAATGATTTCAGGCGACACATTTTTTATAGAGGAAGGGTGGCAAACGAGCACACAGTATACTTGATGGTAAGTGGATAGTATAGTATTGTAGCCCATAAACATCTACATTTATACTGATTAGAATGAAAGGCAGATACGTTGCCATCCCTGAGGACTAAGATTAAATTCCTTGTTTCTAGTAAAAGGGTTTGTTGCTAAATCAAAATACAGTTACGCTGGTATTCTGTGAGAGGGTGATCCTTCCCCTGGCGAGCCGACCCATTCGTGCTGCAACCATAATATAGCTGCAGCGTGGCCCTACCATGTATAAAACCTTATGGCGAAAACGAAACAATACTAGCAGATCGACGCGTAAAGCAAATGTGCTACACTTCTATTTGCCAGCAATTTTACGGCAAAACCTTTAGCCGTTTTTCAGATATGCACTTCTTATAGGTATATTCTTAATAGGTATATTATATATTATAGTATATAAACACGATCTCTTAAGTGATAGAGCTTTTCTCTTAAATGAATGAAGGAACCTGAAGTACACTGACAGGCACGCGAAATATATAAATGACACGTTCATCGCAATTTTTCCACTTTATTAAACATTTTTTTAAACATCAACGAACAAACATGGAAAAGATGAGAGCTGGGAGCTTCCAGTCCTCTTGATAGTGTATTCATTGCAGGTGGCCATTGTATGCTATGAACACTAACGCTTATTCAAAATGAAAAGGCGCTTTGCCGTAAAAAAATTAAGAAACAAAAGAAATAGGTATTTCTACGAGTTCGTAAATATATTGACTGACTATGCGCAGAGGTGGAACGTGGCGCACCGGCTTTTGGCCAGTGATAGAAATAGCCAAGTGGATGGTATCTACCACGACCGACTGCTAGACAAATATGGAGATTTGCCAACTTATACAAATACAAACACTTCATCAAATCTGAACCTACCAGGGCAGTGACCATAACAGGATACCTCCCAGTGATCTTGACTATAACGCCGGCAACTGGAGCTGCTAATGCGTTGAATATACCGAAGCAGATCATCACGAAACCGATGTTACTGATCCCATACGCGCAGCCCACGAAAGCCTAAAAATGTTGTTATTTGAATTAAACATTCGTTTCAATATACGACAAGTGGTAGATGACCGATTGGCAATAAATACACGTAGACTTGTTGCATTTTCTTAATTTCAGGAAATTTTCGCGTCATTAGGACCTACTCCTCTAGTTAAATTAGGACAGAATCATTTCATCATCATCATTGCAGCTCTTCGCAAGTCCACTGCTGAACATAGGCTTCCCCCAAGGAATGCCACAAAGCACGGCTCTGAGCCACTTCATCCATCAACTTCCTGCATGTCTTACCAGGTCGTCACTCCATGTAGTAGGGGGTTGCCCTAAACTACGCCTACTGGTACGATGTTGCCACTCGAGAACCTTTTTTCCCAACGGTTGTCGGTTCTTTAAGCTATATGGCCGACCCATTGTCACTTCAGCTTACTAATCCGTTAGGCTATGTCGGTCATTCTGGTTCTACTGCGTATATCCTCATTTCTATGTTTATCACGGAGAGAAACCCCGAGCATAGCCCTCTCCACAGCTCGCTGGGCAACCTTGAGCGTCCTCATACGGCCAGCATTGAAGGACCACGTTAGGACAGAATATAATAATCATATTTATATATTTATTGGGGATCATCATCATCATCTACATCACCAACACAGCCTATAAAATTTCACCGCTGAACATAGGCCTTTCCTATAGATTGTCTCATAGAGTGGGGGGAGGGGAGTTTGCCATAGTTGCCACGCTTGGCGAGCGGGTTGTCAACTGCAGTTTTTTTATAATTTTGAGTGGTTATCAGGAAGATGCTGCTCCCTATCACCTGTTTCAATTTCCCCCTGTCTGCCTCTTACGACAACCTCGGGACGATATGAATAAATAAATTCTATTATAATAAACGAAGAAAATCCATCACCTTATTTCCTCGCGTGGTTGTCGTAAGTGCGACTAGGGGAAATGCTAGTTTACGCCGAAGTCTATTCGACGTCTTCTTATTTATCGTTTTGACGAGCTAGTTATCATAATATTTTCTACAAAATATGGGGCAAATGGGCATGTAACTCATCTGTCGCCGCCACCCATGAGCAAAGTGCTGTTTTGAAAATTTAAAAATAAAGCTCCTTTAAGATCCCAAGTCGCGATATTTATCGCAATGTGTGATGGTAAAACTTGGCCTGATGGGAATTATTAGTTCGTATCTCTTGGCAATACCAGTGCCAATCGTCAACCATTTAGGTCGTTTGCTGGATGTAAAAAAATTGAAAACAAATCTTATTTATACCTGCGTAAAATCAGCGGCCATAAAAGCTTGTTCTGCACCAATATATCCAATTACAGGTAAAAGTAGAAGCTGATATTTATGTCTTAATTGTCGCAACGTCACGGCCAGTAACAGGAGACCCGACTTGCCATGACTTGCCGGCTGACGTCCAGCACTATACCTGCAAAATAAATATTATCTCTTGGACGCCGTGAGAGGCGATAGAGGAAAACTAAATTTGGAGATGGGCAGCAAAATTGTCCTGGTAACAATTCAAAATAATAACCGAAAAAACCAAAAAAGATACTGCAGTTAACAACCCCAAACGGGTTGACAATCGCAGTTTCTTTAGCCACTGGTCTCTCTAGTAAATATTCTCCTATGAGAATCTCTTTTAACGGGTTATAATGAATGATATTGATAATTAATATATAAACGAATACCTACGTCCACAGTACTAAGCTTTGAATAAAATGACTATTTTATACTAAGAAAAAACTATCTGACTGCTAGTTAGAGGATGGAATATTAGCTGAGTCCCAAAAGCACCAACATTTATTCTCAATCGAGAAATAAAATGCAGATGCGTTGTCACCACTGTGAACTAAAAATGAAAGTCTGATTGCCAGAAGAAAGGATTTCCATTCGATTCACTCAAGGACACTTAACATATGAAACGCTGCATCATTAAGCTGCAAATTTACACATTTGTGCACAATATAGCTGCGGTCTCGATTTATCAAGTTTTAAGGTGACTAACATTACATTAGTCAACTTTTTAAAAATAAATGAAACACGCTACTTTGTTCCGGTCTGTAGGGCTTAGGGAGACAGTATAGTTACTGACTGTAAGGGATTTCATTTTTTTCTCAGAGCCTTCATTGTTTGACGTTGGTTGCAAGTTTCCATAGGCTGCATTAATCACTTACAATCAGATAGTTCGTATGTGACTTTAATACGATAAAAGGACTTTTTAACAGTTGGATAGTGAATTATCAGTCTTCACTTCATATTCCAGTTTACAGTAAATTTGTGCAAAAACACAAATGATATTATTTTTATTTGAATATCTTGTGTATGTTACACTGCATTCAAACCTTTCTGCGAACTTATGTCATAGACGTATATATATAACATCGGGAACTAAAATATTGTTGTCAAATGTCGTTTCTTATTCTACAACCATTTCAAAATGAAGTTGCTCTGTCTGTAGAAGAAACCACGATTATTAAAAGTCAAACACAATAAAAGGTGTTTTATAAAAATATAGTCGTGGTAGAGCCATGCTGCAGTTATAACATACAGGGTTATTTTTCAAAGAAACCAAATTTTAAGCTTAAGTTCAAAAACGTAAATTATGATACACCGTTATTGCAGTGTTTGAAAACACGAGTAAATAAGGATTCCAATTCTAATTAAAATCATCCCAATTTAAATGTGATTTATGTTGTTTTTGGCTACCGATTGACCCTTACGAATGTGTTCGTGCGCAGCAAAATCAGTTAAAATATTTTTGAAGCATTTTGAATTAAAAAGATAAAAAGGATAGAATATTTGAGATTTTTTTTTCTTTGTTATTTGCCTATACTATTTATTCTGAACTTTTTCTGCCAATTTGACGAGTTATTGCGAAAAACCCTATAATGTTTAAACACGAATGGGTCAACTAAACCAGGGAAGGACCACCCTCTCACAGAATATCGGCGTAATATAGCAGCTCAATGTTGTTGTGTTTAGTATGGTGAGTATAAATCCATTTTACTGCGGGCGAAGCATTTTATTTTATAGGGGTGAACACGCATCCGCATTTTAATTCTTATTCGAGGGTAGATGTAGATATCTATGAGCCACAGCATCCACTGTGTGCTTATTTGTCACCCTTATTCTTTACAATATAGTCCCACGGGGCAGAGGCCTCGTCCCAAAAACATGAGACACACACGATATATAACATTATTAAAGCCTAACAGAAGTCCACCGCTGAGCACACATAGGCATAAACACATAATATTATGTTCCTATTTCGATATTTACCTGCTAAGGGAATCCACGCCAACAAATACCAAAATGACTGCCGAGGCCATGCACGCCAGGTACACGCCGGCAATAACTTGGATTTTAAGAGCCGATGGTGGTTCAAGATTTGCATTTTCCTACGACGATATTAATACTGTTTTAATAATACTGCAGTTAAAACGACAGTAGTCTACTGGTAGGGTGCGGACCGCGAACTGGTGGGTTCGAATCCACTACACGATTACTGTCGTTAACCACTCCTAACACAAATATTTCAAGTTTACCCGAGAATATTAGTAATGTTCATACTAGCATGTATGTATTTATAAAAAGAGGGCTGCCATTTCGTATATAACTATTTTTTTTTCTCTTTAAAAACATACCTTCAAAGTAAGATTAAGTAAAATTTTCTTACTTTGGTTAATCACACAGTAAGAAAATCGTAAATTAATTTTTTTCATTATTATTTTAAAAGGTTTGGTCGCAGCAATGGCAATAAGGGATGGTACTAACCTAGACAGACTCATAGGCAGAAAGAAAGCTCTACCACCTATTCCTAGAGTCTGATGAGTGCTCTAGGACACTTTTACTCGCTTTGTGATATATTGAAATTGCTTATTATACTACGTTCTAGATCTTGCCACCATTACCACTTATCACCAGGTGGGATTGTAGTCAAAATAATTCTCCCATCACCCCATTTCATGTCGTAAGAAGCGACTGTAGACAATTCTAAAATTATCTTACGGCTTTCAATAGATATGTGGTAGAGCCATGCTGCAGTTATATGATTATGGTTCAGTACCGTGAAATAGTAGTTAATCTCTTTTCGTGGTGTAGGATTTTTCCCTATCTATATAAAAAAAGAGCGGTGTATACACTTAATTTACGCTAGTCGTAAAATTCCCAGACTGGCAGCCAATTCGCCTGCCAATATTGACGATTAAATAATATAAGTAACAAAATCTACCTACTATTCAAGAGACCTATGACAATCAATGAACATCGTTATGATAAAGAAGAAGTGGTTCATAGACTGGTGAAAAAATAATAAAGCTTACGTGTGAAGCTGATCCACTGCAAAAGTTCACACCACAAGTGGCCCCGAAATCCACTTCGGGTGTAGTTAAGTTTGTAATAAGCGTCGACGTCCTCGAAACTATAGTCTCGTTATATAGGACAACTGCGTCACCCAGTGATGATGACAAAACTAAAAATAAAGGAATTATTTTATTACTAAAGGTACTCAACTTAAAAATACTTTGAAATTATAAACTAATATGTTTGACTACTACTACTATAACTACTACTAGTTCTACAACTAGTTCTCTAAAAAGTTAAGTTAAAGTTACGGCCTATGTACGTCCCACTGCTGGGCACAGGCCTCCGCTCATTTCTGAGAGAGTTTTATGGCAAGGAAGTGTCCGCCGCGCCGCGTGTTGACTTCACATGTCTTCGAAATATTTTTCTTTTATTTCTCAGCAAAGTAGATTTCCTCATTATGTTTTTTGCACGTGATAAATCAGCAATTAAGATTACAATTAACAATTTTATTGATGCCGGCGGTTATTAAACCTGGTTACCTCACTTTCTGTGAAATTTACAGTGAGCGCTAGTTATCTGAGCTACCACGGCTCGAGTTCTTTATTATTTTATTTCTAAATACGTCACACCCACACTAGGATTTGCTTTTTTATAGGATAGGATGATAAACTAGCACACAATCCACCTGAAGGGTAAGTGGTTGCTGCGGCCCATAGACATCTACATCTATCCTCGATTACAAATCAAAATGCAGATACGTTGTCACCCGTGAAGACTAAGATGGAATGCCTCGTTTGCAGTAAAAAGGGTCTCCGGTTCTCTACACTTACCATACGAAACACAGCAGCATTAAGGTACTATTTTACGTTGGTATTCTGTGAGAGGGTGGCCCTTCCCCGGTGGAGCCGACCCATTCGTGCTACAACTATACTACTAATATAACTGCAGCATGACCACGTATAAAAAGTGCTTCCTTGTAGTGGAGGCAGTTTACATACATAAATTGCACAAACATCCAAACCCTAAATAATTACTTGTACAAATACTTGTACCATGCGAGATTCGAACCCGAGGCTCTCAGCGCCGTAACACATTGCTAAGCCACTGCGCACGAAGCTTTCAGTCTATGTACGTAACAGATTTTATAATAATAATAAATAAACATGCCTAAACAAATGCGTAACTGAAGGTTACTGTCACTCGCTACGCACTACTTCCGTCAAAGAATTACAATCACTAATACCACCGTGTCTGTGACCGGTGACCGCTAATTCATAACACGGTTACCTTCGTTTCCTTGTTATATAAATAAAAATTACACAAATTAAGCTAATATGGAAAACCTTAGCCAGTAAGCAATGCTTTACCATCTTCGACTACTTATTACGTGTTTAATCACTGGCTTGGTTTATAATACTCGTAGTTAAAAAATATATTCAGGGTCTCTTAGTCCCTTAAATCTGAATACAAAAGTGGGCAACAATTTCTGTTTAGGCAAGTGGGCAAAACGGACGCTTAAGCAGAAGAGTCGTTTATCACGTAGTCAAGTTTAATTTACAATAATTATCTCAAATGAAGAAAAAAAAACAAGTAACGCGCAATTAATCGAAGTGCGATACAAAAAGAGTTTGAGCCATAATTGACGCTATTACGATTTGAGCTCTGTTGAGCTATAGGTTAATCTAAACATTGAACGCCTACCTATACGACCAATAACCAAAGTAAGGGACTGAATCTACTTAATAACGGCTATTTCTTAGTCTAGCAAGGAGAACAGAACGTCACCCTCATAGTGTATTTTTCACCTAATTTTATAGCTACCTCGTGTAATTTTATATGTACTACAAGTTAAAGTTTTTAATAAATTATTATTATTATCATATTTATGTATATGTTCTCTATTTGAGAATATATACTTTTAATTTTAAAAACTTAGTCTACAATGTGTGTAAATGAGAATTTTAGTCGTCATAGTCAAACTATCATTTGCAGATATTCTAAGTTTAAATGTATATCATAAAATGAAAAAAAAATAGATCATGTTAATAAAAATAAATTTAATAAAATTTAATTTAATAAATAACCAAAATGCAAGCAGATTCACATCTAAAATTATTTGGATTTTTTTTACATGACCTCTAACAATTCAACCTAACAAAAACATGTAAAGATATTAACAAAACTAGCTTACTCGCTGACGATAGAAGATTTCCCCATATCTGTGCCATTTGGTAGAACATGAAGAAAAGACCGAAGAATCTAACTACAAGGACTTCCGACGACACTCCGGAAAGCTTCGCGTACGGCTCTGCAACCTTAAATACATGAAAACAAAATATAAATTAAAATTTTAGTTAAAATTAAAATAGCACAGGTCACGTATAAATTATATTTACTAACTAAATATGAATAATATTTTGATAAAAGGTCGCAAGAAAAAGGGATATGGTACAAAACCATCCAGAGTCAGCCACCGAAAGTGCCTTGGTTTAATCAATGTCTGTTGAATAGAAAATATGTTGTATTAGCAATGCGACTTCGTTCCGGACACATTCCGTATAACAATTTTGCTTTTATGATGAAAAAGTAACAATCTCCAAATTGCGATACATGCAAGACAATAGAAGATGTACAACACTTGCTCGCGGAATGTTCCAAAAATCATCATGAACGGAAACTAATAGTTGCCGAAACTGACATTAAAATATGTAACCTAGGGTAATATTAAAGCATTCTGTCTGAACCATCGTCTAATGCTGTTCAAATGGTATATAATTTAGTTAATATTTTGTGTCAATAATTTAAGAAATTGTAGTGTGTTATTTAGTTATAAGGTACAATGGGACTGACATGTTAAAAATAACGTAAGTAAAAAAAGAATAAAAAAAACTAAATAATAAATAATACCTTCACTTAACCTTGAACTGGTAACGTATAAATCTAATCTATACTAGCCTTTTCAGTAGATTTTTAATTTGCTAAATTTTCTTCGCTTGGCAGGTAGTAAAGTTACAGGCTATATATTCCATTCCAGAGCACAGACTTCATCTCATTTTTGAGGAGGATTTCGGACACGGAAGTGTCCATCGCGCTGTCCTAATGCGTGTTGGCGAGCTTCATGCTTAGACGTACAGGTTTCCTCACAATGATTCCTTAACCACCGAGCACGTGACGATACACACGAGCAATAAAAAAATTATTTGTGTCGGGGGACCAAACCCAGGTGGCTCGTGTCCTGTTAAGTTTATAGGGAACGCTAAGTCCCGAGATATTGTCAACCAAAACTGTTACATGTTGTGTACACACACACACATATATATATATATATATACAAATAATACATATTGAGGGCTGGAGCCACCTTTTTTAGTTCATTAGATACCTACGAGGAAAATCGGTGAAGAATTCTTTTGAATCCTCTTAACTGCAACTAATAGCATGAAACATTGCCCCATAATATACATATGATAGACTCCGGAATGCATCTGTGCACACCGCACAGGTATCACATGATTTTATTCGTCCCTCCTCTTTCCACCATCGTAGTCCGATCGGACAACCAGAGGCTCGGCAGGTCTCAGGTACATGGCTATTGTCAATAGGTAACTACCAACTTATAACAAATAGAAAAAAATGGACATTTTGTACTTGTATTTATATAGTTAAGCCCTAATCTCTATCGAGTATAAGGAACGTCCGGGAGAACGTGTTGACGTCTGTCTCATTCTCATACAACTCGAGCGGGCATCAGTCACTACTCAGATCACTATAAAATAGCGCATGATTGCTATGACGTCACGCCGTGCGTCCTATCCAAGGCTAATCACAGCTACTGGTAAACGAACTGCGGTTTTATTTAAAAACTTATGAGCACTAATGAGACCGCAGTTTTGTACGGATTTCCGTCTGCCACGCAGGTGACAATGCCTGCAAACATTGCAGTAGATGACCGCAATTCTGTTAATCGTCATGGATCGATTGCCAGTAAAGTTCACGCGGCCATGTGCCCACGTCCCCGGCGACCTATACCGCAGAGATCACGGGCACCGCAGCCTGCGTGACTACGAGTTGCGCGCCGGTACAGCAGCAACCTCATAGAACCCCACGCGCTATGGGTATAAATTGCGTACCTAGTGAAATTTATTACAGTATTATATATACTTTTCATATTTTACGCATGTCCCAGTCCAGCAACCGCCCCGGACGTGGCTAAATGTCGCTCCATGAAATCCTATCGTATCGCTCTCCACTAAAACCTTGGTACAAAACAAAATGGAATGGAAACAAAAGACTGGACGCTAAAACAATGTTCCCATTTGCTGGTCTGATAATTTTAGGGGAGTCAAATTTTATGTACGATACAACATATTCAATTCCCAGTTGTCGAATCTTTCGGATACTTAGTGTACAGAAAAGGATAATTGATTTTGTTTTGGTGCCTTGACCTCAATCCATCGCATATCACCACCATTTACCACCACCTTTATTGTTAATATACATACTATTATAATTATTATTATTAAATGAATTTATTTGCATAAAATTACAATTCGTGTAACATTTATTATTAACCCTTAGACAAACACAATAGGAGTGGATACAAGGAAGGCATGTCAATGACATTTTTATAGTTGACAATCAAACAATAGATAAGTAAGCCCATGCAGAATTATGGTGATCCTAAGGTTGGTATTCAAAAATTCATATGTCCATTTTAGTGTGCACGGTGCCCTGTGTTTATAATTTATATGTAGTACTATAGCCACATACCATATCAAGTTAAAGAGGCCTCTATGTTATGATGTCTATATAAACTCTATGTTCCATATAGTATGATAAATTAATTTAAAATTTAGGTGGTAATTAAGTATATGTTTTCGGCGCGTTACTACTAACTCATAGGTTATTTTTAAAATTCTAGTTTCATTATTTTATAATACAGGTGCAATGTGTAGTTTGACTTGGAACTATGAGATGATGACATATTATACGAAGTCTTTAGTTCATTCAGTTTTTGCATCAGTTTTCTGCCTATATCCGTGTCCACATCCGTGCAACACAGTTGTTTAACAAGTATTTAATTTTAAAATATGTATAACAGACGTCCTATTCCACATTAAGTCACGTAAAGCTTATGATTATTTAAAAATAATAATAAGTCTAATTCTAATTATATTACAATAAAATATACCATGTAAGTTTTTAATTAATTGTTGTTAAATAGTTTCTACTATATGGACTTCTACGGTTACGAATGAAAACTTCTTGAGGAAAGCTACATGTCTAAAAAATTAGATTAAAATATTTGAAGAATATATCAAGTCAGCCAACATGTATTGGGATAGCGTGGTGGACTCCAACTCTAGTACCCTTTCAGAAATTACATAATTACAATTCCAGCTTACAGTAAGGGTAACAACGTAATCCTTAGGGAAGGGTGGAATTTAAGATGCAGAAAAAAAACTAACCACAGACAGATAAGTACATTTGGCGCACCAGAGCGGTCCTCCACCAAATCCCACCATCATACCAGCCGGTACCAGTGTGTATAAGCGGGGATAAAACTGCGCAGCGATGAAAGGCATGTACGCGATGAACGACAGTGCCACGGTCCACTTGCAACCCAGCCATCTTTAAAAAAAATCAATAACCGCAATGAGTGAACCAAATCGTGTTATTTTATGCCTTTTTAAAATAAATATATATTTAGAGAATAGAACTGGAAAATTAAAGTATAAGCTTTAGAATAATTTATCATTTAATATTTTGAAACTTTTTCCACAATTGCACCACTCTGCAGGCGAATTAAAATATAAGCAATATATGAGAATCAATCATTCCATTTCGTCCCATTTTTCTAGCGTTTCACATAGTCATGTCATAATGACATTGGGAACTGTCAAAAATATCTTTTGTATAATATATCCCCCGCGTCCCGAAATCTGGACCGATAATAGCGCCACCTATCGGCTCAAATTGTAATATACATCCATCCAGGGACTCACTCAAACACAAGAAATTTCATCAAAATCGGTCAAGCTATTATATATATATATATATATATATATATATATATATATATATATATATATATATATATATATATATATATATAGGGAGCAACGTCAAGTATGTCAAAACTCATAGAACTAATAACTCCTATTACGCTCCCCAAATGTGGCTTACACGTCCGTGCATCCTCCGTCCACAGCAGTGGACTTTTATGGCCTCATGAAGGTAAATATTCTTGGTCTAGAAAGAGGTACGTATTAACCCATTTTATAAATCAGTAGACGCATTATTTCTATTTAATTATTCCTATTGTCTGTCTTCGGTAAAGTTTTTGAATCATTAGATTGTCCGGTTTTGGCTTGGCACGTAAAACAAATAATCTCCCCAGCAATCAGGCTTTTACATATCTCGTTCTACAGCTATCAATCTTGTTTCATTTGTGGACTATCTCCGAGTCTCTCGATTCACGTTTGTCTGTGGACACCATCTACACATACTTCAGTAAGGCATTTGACATTGTAGACCATAACATCTTACTTCACAAACTCTCAGCTTTAGGCATCACTGGTAATTTTCTGGAATGGTTCCCTTTATAATCCAGGCAGAGAAAATCCATTTCTACCTACGTTTGGCATTCCCCAGGGTTCTCATCTCGGTACGATTCTCTTTAATATTTTCATAAACGACATTGCGTCGGTTTTTAATCACGTGATCTGTTTTATGTATGCAGATGACATGAAACTGTCCTTGCAAATCAGAGACAACAGTGACTCCCTCCTATTGCAAGAGGACTTGGATCACATGTTTTTGTGGTGCCTTAAGATCAGACTATTTTTGAACATGGATATATGTTAATTCATAAGATTCTCAAGATGTGTAAATGTTCCGACACAAATTTATAACATTGGTGGTCATCCTATGGTAGAAGTGGAGTCAGTTCGGGATGTGGGCGTGGTTTTTGACAAAAAGTTACGTTTCCATAAACATATTGACGGAATTTTAGAAGGGGTTTTCAATGTTGGGGCTCTTATTACGTAATTCCAATGAATTTAAGAGGAGCTCTATAAAAATTTCTATGCACAAGTATTTAGTCCGTTCCAGCCTCGAATACTGTAGCCAGGTCTGATCTCCATTTTAGGACGTTTATATGAAACATATAGAGTGTATGTATCAAAAAGCGCTTTTTGTGGCATCTTTCGTATCAAACCTACAAAATAAGAGATTTGTCGTCTTATGAAGATCAACTGACGTATATAAATTAAGTAGTCTGTGAGAGCGGAGGCTTTTGCTGAATTTCATGTTGCTATACAAAATCGTCAAATGTGCTATTCAAATAGGTATGTGACTTCGATATCTTTGTTGATAGGCTTGAAAAATACAGGCGCAAAATTTTGTAGTTCTTTGCTGTAAGCTAACATTGGGGTCTAGTTTAAAAATATAGAGTAATAATAATTCAATTTTCTAAAATAATTTTAAGAAAAATATTTGTAGTCCACATTGCATGTCGTGGCAACCTTTAACTATGACGACACTTAGACATAAACTTTCTTCTTATTTGTAGTATTTACATAGTGTTCCTGTATGTCTTGTTGCTTGTCCTAATAAATAAATATTTTCACCTGTAACAATCGATACTTTGCCTACAAATCCTTTTTACTAGTAAAAACGCTCATCCATCAGTGTATAATTTGCATGTCGATGAGAGAGGAGATTTAAAGAATAGTTGCGAAACATTAAGGAAAATATATGGTTTTGTTATACTTTAATCTACGATTTGTCTCTTACTGTTGTATTTTAAATGCAACTTGTTTTTGCAAGAGAGAGGGTGCAAAGCCAACTACTAAGCTAACCTGAAGGTGAACCAGTTCCTTTCTCCAAGTTTATTGTAATGCAAATATCGCTAATATGGTACGATTAAAAACAACAACTTTATTTTAAGAAATTCGTATGTTTTTAATTTTCAATTCCAAAACCTAAGCTACTTAATACCTTGGTTTCAGAGTTACTATGAATAAATATTATACATCCGCTTAACATTAAAAAATTTAACACGGTTTATTTCGATAATTGTGTGACGGCAACAAAGAATCGATTAATATTCTCGAATCAAATGAACCGTTACGGTAATCTAACGCTTTTTGACAGATTGCAAAACAACCAACTGCCTTAAACCAGATTATCCAGATTAATAATACCACTTGTATGACCAGGAAACAGAATCCAATGTATGATACTTTTAGATTAACGATTAAAGCAAACTCTCCTCTCTTATTAGAGAGGTATTTACATAGGTTTAATAAAAATTATTGGATACAGAAGAAAGAATTTGCGATAAAATATTTAGTAGAAATTTAAATATAGCATAATATGCTGTAATGAGAACAAAAGATCCTCTTTCATTCTATATTCAAAAATCGCATCTACATTTTATCTTTTACTCAAGGAAAAAATGGTGCCACAGCATCTAGTTACCATTAGGTGAACTGTGTACTCGTTTGTCATCTATTTATATATAATAAAATCCAAGCATCATAATTATTTGTAAATAACTAAACTTTAAAAATGTTTAAAGAAGTATCGTATATCTAATATACTCTAATCCATCTCAAAATTTATATATGTTTATTGATGATATAACACAGTCATAAGAACATATTATCAACACTTTATCATAAATAATCTAAGCACTATGTTATTTGAAAATATTAGCTAACTAAATCTTATTAATATGCTTACTTGATAACTATAGCTGGCAAGAAAATATTTGATAAAATCAGGGAAAAATATATAGCAGCCAATGTAAAGGTACCCGCTCCAGCATCACTGTTCACTGAGCTCTGAAGGTTGGCGGTGCCGTGAAAAGCAGTAAAGTGTACCATAAACGCGAAGCCAAGAATGAAAATGTTTCTATTAATACGCCATTTCTCATTGCTGCTAAAAGCAACAGCGTTGGCGTCTGGCATTATAGTAGATCTGGAAAAAAAACATATAAATGATTAACTCTATTACTATTGAATAAAAACTGTTTAAAAAAGACAATGCAATACAAACAATAGGTGTTGATAAAAACCCTGGAAATGAGGTGATCAATGCCAAACTTTTTTTACGTGGTAGAGCCCTGCTGCAATTTGCAGCATATTAGTAGTATAGTAGCACGAATGGTTCGGCTCGACCGGGGAAGGCTCACGCTCTCACAGAATACAAGCGTCAAATGAGTGAGTGTAGAGAACCGGAGACTCCTTTTACAGGAAACGAGGCATTCCATCTTAGTCCTCATGGATGGCAACGCATCTGCATTTTGATTCGTAATCGAGGATAGATGTAGATGTCTATCCGGTGGACTGTGTGCTCGTTTGTCATTCTATGCTATAAAATATTTTCATAAATAATTTTAACGTTAAATACACAACTTATATTTCAATTATCATCATCACCATTGCGGCCTATCAAAGTCCACACTTTCACGCTCATTTAGGGGATACTTACCTTAGTTGGCACGCTTTGTAGGCGAGTTGGCAATAAAAGTATTTTATTTTCTAGCGTTAGGAAGAAATTGCTGCTCATCTCCTGGTTTGGATCCCTTTGTCGCCTCTTACGGTACCCATCGGTCAATACGAGGTAGTTAATATTCCTACACTGTCACTACGCAGTTACAGAATATTGCAATGTATAATGTTTTTTCCAAAAAACATACTTGCTGGGTTTTTGCTGGTTCTTATCAGAACAGAGATTTTTACCGAACCAGTGGTAAAAAAATACCTTTAATAAATATTTATAATCTATATTTAATAAAATATTCTATTCTCTGATGATTATGAAAATTATTCTATTTCATCGTGATATTTTTTCTATTTACATACACGCGTGACGTTACATCTTAAAAATAATAACTAAATCGAAGAAATTACTTTACGATAGAAAATTTTTGCGTTTGCAATGACTTCGACGGAGGCAAAACCAATTCGGCTGTACTGCATTCGAGAAACTGCGAAAAATCTTCTTAGACAATATACTTCAAAATCTTGAACAAGTATTTAAGAATAGCGATGTTTTTAGTGACAACTAATAGAACAGACTAAAGGTTCTTCAGTAATGGATACATCTTTTACTTCTTTTCTTCCGGCTGTATGAAGAATTTCAAAGCAATTTTGTGAATTACGGATAGAAATAGACTGATGATTTACTGTGATAGTAAATCCATGAGAAGATTTCGTGCAGCGAAACAAGTCAAACTTAAATTATCCGACCAATTGTTGTGGCAATAGGTCGACCTTATACCTCCAACGTCCTTCACGCGATAGGTATGAAAAGTTCTCCAATGGCAGCTTTGAACTGACAAACGCATTGTACGGCTACTTCCTACCAGATGAAGACTATCACTTTATATTCACTCAATATACAAAAAATCCTTCAATAATTATATCACGATCTATAAATTCCAAATTCAGACCAAATTCTTGTGCATATACACGCAGGCATCACTATTATACTGGTTTTTGGACTGTAAAACGAATAAAATTATATTACAAATGTTGAGGCACTAAATTATTAAATAATTAATTGAATCTACCCGCGCCAAATTGTGTGCGACATATGCTACAATATTTATTTTTACCTACATAATTTCGGTCAGGTTATACGAAATTTTTAGTCGAGTTTTTAGTTTTCAAGTGTTTCTACAGTATTTTATTTTTCTTCATAAATTCGTAATATGCCACAGCTGAACATGGGCCTTTGCTATTGTAACCATTTGTCATAACTGCTACACTTTGCTGTTGGATGCTGTTGCGTATAACACACGTCTTGTAACTCGTACACTTTCATTCATACGCCATCGTTTTTTAGTTACAATTTTTTTCACAGATCATGAACATCATAAATAAATGGCAATAAATGCTATAAATAATCAAATAACCTTTTACATTCGGCCACAAAAATAATATGCCATTTCCGATTCTAAAATCGCTTAATCAATAGAGCTTAGCAACAAAGTTTACAACTACTTTATATACTACACAGCAAAGATATTGCTAAATTAATCTTTCACACTTAGTTATTGTAATAAGATCACAAAACATCTATTAATACTTCTACGATCTCTTTTAAATGGAATTGAGAGAATTAAAGTAAATTTATAACAAATGCATGTTTTTTTTTCTATTACCGTGCTAAACTTCCTTGCCTTATTGTCACCACTCCACCGAACGGAGAAACCCATAGCAACTTAGAGCATACATTACATGGAGGGAGCACTAGGGGTTTTTCTTATTACAGCATAGTCAAATTTATATTACGATGTAAAAAGTTTTCTCATGGTATTATAATGATATTTTCTTTTGGTATAGTTAATATATTATGCTCGGAAAACCGACGATCGATAGGAAAGAAAGTTCCCGAATAGTGGAAGGAAGGTGTAGGGCGGGCTTCCACTTCATGTAGTGACGACGTGGTAAGACGTACGGGAAATCGGTGGCAGGACCTCGTTTGGTGGTATTCCTTGGGGGAAACCTATGTGCAGCACTGGACTTGTCATAATTATGATGATAATGATTAGAGCCTTGTAATTTGTAGTATAATTTGTATATTAAGAGAATTTTACATTATAAAAACACGAAAAGAAGATAGTTAAACGTCGGTACCGGATATGACACCAACGATAGTTGACACTGTGACTTCTAGTACATTTCATTATAGAATAGAAAAGAATCATTTTTATCCAACGTAGATTATAAAAATACTTATTGGAAGTAATTTACAACTAGAACACATAATGATTACTGCTTATTATGCTTATTGCCTTACCTGTTTAATGTCTACTAAAGTACATAATGCTAAATGTTTCCCATTCAGCACACAATGTTTAATGTTAAAAAAACCACACATTTTCTATATACTTAGCAATTTTTATCAGAATAATATCAGAAATTGACGTTTTGAGAAAGAATTTCTCAAAGCCATCACACAGAGATATACGAAGAAAATTTTGAATTCCAGTCTAATTCCTGTGCCGTCCATATTATATATTTTATTAACATTTAACAAATAATGTCTGCTTTCGTACAGTCACCTCGATCGACGCTGATCTAACACGATTATTGCAGTCAGTGAAATGTGAATTAAACTTAGTTATTGACCTCACACGAGACAGATAAGGTCTCGCAGTTGTCATGTGGTTTATTAATGGCCGTATTTAATAATAGAAACACTCTTTTTATGTTCGATGTTTTATTTTTGAATTATACTTTATGCTTTTATAAAAGAATAATGCAATATAATGTAATTTCCAAAACTACTTTAGTAACCAATCAATTTACAATATTTTTAATGATGCTCCTCCCGAAATATAACATTTAGGTAAATATGGTAAAGATTTAAAATAAAAGCAGAATAAATTTTATTTATTTATAGTTATAAACATATAAATGAAAGCACAGAAAATATAAGCACCATTTTTTTTAAACTACTTTATGTAAAGGTTCATCAAAAAATCGGTTTCGATATATTAATTTGTGGATAGAATATTAATTTAAAAGGTTGTGAATATGCGCTGAACTTCTACTTACTTAGCATAGCTTGCTTGTTTATACTTTATATTCTAATTCCACTAATTAAAAAAATAAAACAGAGCTGAAACCGTAAAATGTTTTTCCCATATTAGCTTCAAAAGTTGATGCTGATAAAAATATATGTATTACGGATTTGTTTCTTAAAACACAAGTATATTTCGGGACTCAGTAATTTAATGATGAGAAAATTCTTTACGTTAGCGGGCGAAGCGTCTTTGTATTTATGTATCTTTTTATTATCTTCTTATGAAGATCTGATTGTCAGTGTGGGGCTTAGAGGTATAGACTACTATAGTTACAGCGGTAATCACAATAGATGATATTGGTCTTAGTGATCCTGATCACCTCTTGCGTGACTAGTAATGCAACGGTGTAACTTTGGTGGGAATCATTCCATTTTCAATTAATCATATCTTTGATATTTCGCATTTTAATAATGCAAAGTGTCGAAATGTTCCGGTCAGAATTTCAACGTTTATGTCAGCCCTATTCTAAGCAAGTTTGCTGCCGCTGATAATTTTCATCAAACCGTACATCTATGATTGGGTGCGTTTAGCAGAAAAAGGCGCTAGCAAGCGCTTATAAGCAAAATGGCGATCGTAAGCGGTAAGCGCTGTCAAATCGTAAGTAGCTATTTTCCTCCAGGACACGATGTTAGTTTTAACCGGGGAACCTAACCTCATTTAAATATATGTTTGTAAATTATTCATATTAAAAACTTACCAATCATGAATTTTAATAACATATATATATGTTTATTCACGTCATTATTATATTACTTAAAACTAATATTGCACAAAAGAACTTATAAACTCTACTTCAAAACAAACAAATTAAATAAGCAAAATGGCGGATTGTATCAGCGCTACTGAAGTAGCAATCGTGTCCTGGCCGAAAACTATTTTAGCGCTTGTAAGCGCTTGCTAGCGCTTTTTTCTGCCAAACGCACCCATTATCTTTACGTACATCAAACAAAAGCTTTTAAGATATTCCACTACTCCGTATCATACTGGAATGTCGACAAAGGGAAATAAAATAGGAGATGGACAACAGCATCTACCCAATAACAACTGAGAATAATAATAAATTACGGTTGCAACCCCAAGCTTAGCAAATATGTTAAATATCCCCCTATGAAACAATCTATTAGGGAGGCCTATGTGCAGCCGTTTTGGTGAACAATTTAAAAGCTTGTTTGACAGTTATAAGTTGAAATTCACGATTGAATTCAATTCTAACAAAACACAATTGTTTGTATGTGGTCGTGATTAATTCCTTTTGCCTCATATATTTGCAAGTGAACGGAACTTCCGCACCACTTTGCAAAGCATATAATTTAAATAATATATTTATTAACTAAACTAAGGTGAATGTCTATTACTCGTAAATAAATATGAAGACAATTAATAAGCAAGCAATAAAGTTTTATTTACGTGACAAATTAATTCATAAAGCATGCGGTGCGTAATTTGCTGGTAAAGTCCTCTACGAGAAAACCAGTATTGTTAATGCATCGTTTGTTCCCAGATAAATATGTTTATTACGTTGATGTTTTATTGCAACAGTTCTTATATGTATGTTCGAATCATTAACGTCAACTGATATACTCAGTTGAAGTTAATAATTGTTGATAATTCGTAAAAATTATAAACTGCGGTTGCCAACCTGCTTGCCAAGCGTGCCAACTTCAGCAGTGGTATTTAGTAGGCTGTAACAGTAAGGGTTACGGAATAATTCAGTAATAAATTTTACGACTTTTTTTCGACTTTTGTGTCTCATATGGTTTTTTTTATTTAAGATGAAGCAAAGAAGTATATGGCTCACTTGATGGTAAGTATGGGTGTAGAGACTGGAGACTCATTTTACTGGTAACGAGTCACTTCTTGGAATTGTAATACATGTACATTTTGGTTTTTAATCGATAATAGTTAGTGTTGTCTGTGGACCACAGTATCCACTTCCCCTTACTTGTAAAAAAACGATTAGCTTGTTTCGGGTGATCAAGTGATCTATCTTTTTCATTTATTTTAAACTGGATTGATGATCGACTACTAATCTATTCAACAATGTATGAAGATACATCGTACTTGGAACAATAATATTGAAAAGTTTTCGATTTCTTCGTCAAAATTCAACACGGTATCATGGAATAAAACTAATTTTATGAATTTGATCGCATTTGATTTAAAAAAAATTATTCCAGGTGTTTCTTGGACTTCATAGCAAACATGGTCACGGGGGGACTAAGATTTTTGACGTCCATGACCAAGGGTGGTGTAAAAAAATTCCATGTGTAGTAAATATATGAAATCATTAATAGTACGAACCGGACTAATAAAAATCCCTATTTTTACAAGTCATAGACTAAATCAAATTATCGACAACATTTATTTTTTCGCTAATGGCAAATCAATAGTGGTGTCTATGGGATGGAAAAACGGCAACAACCTTGTAAAAGAGAGAAGGTGAGAATATTATAGCTATCTTATTTTGTACCATGTTAAACGTAATATGTATAAAGAGTTCAGCTATAAGAATTTTGTTCCTATTTTAGGACTCTCCCTATGCTATTAATTACTCAAAGCAAAGACTATAATGGTAACACTAAATTAAGGGTATGGATTGGAAACTTATGAACTCGTAGGCTCGAATCCACCTTTTGATTATTTTCGTAAACCACTCCTAATACAAACATCTTAAGCCTGGATAAAGTTTTAAACGGGTATATGCATAATGTTATTAACATTATTAGTATTATTCTTATTTGAAATAAAGTCAAGTTTACTCGTATACTATATATAAAGTTAAAGTTACAGTCTATAATATACGTCCAACTACTAGACACAGGCCTCCTCTCAATTCTGAGAGGGTTTTAGGGCAAGAAAAATGTCCGCTCCACTACACCAATACATGTTGGCGAACTTTACATGTCCTCGAAATATTTATTTCTCATTTCGCAGACATGCAGGTTTCTTCAGGACGTTTTCCTTCACAGCCGATCACTTGCGAAATTAGCACTTAAAATTGCAAGTAACAATTTCATTGATGCCAGTTGGGATCGAACCTTGGTCACCTATTTATAATCTGCGTATAATCTGTGTTATGTACTATATATGTGAAGTCGAATGACCTAAATAGTTAACTAAGCATGGTAAGTGCGGATACTCGTTCATCCCCATATTTCTGCAACCACTCTGTGAAAGCATCGAAGAAAAAGCTTATGTCTTAGGATGGAATCCAAGTCATCAATAAGCACCAATTTTAATACTAAAAAAAATATCCAATAACTACAACCCGCTATATAATCATCCCGATTTAATCAAGCAGGAGATGAGCAGCAGCGTTATAACTCAAAAATAATAAAAGACTGCGTTTTTCAACACGTCTGCGTTGCAAGCAATGGTAAATATCCCCCTTTGATGCAAATTTTTGATGCCCTGTGAACGAGAGTGAATTTTTGATAGGCTATAATGAAAATGAAAAAATTACTACAATGCAACGTTCATAAATGTTAATGTGTATTTGGGAATATCATGCTTTGTCGTTAGTAATATATTAGTCCTCCTCATCGATTGCGATAATAGTGACGCTAGGAGTTATGGATTTTGCCTATCATGTGTCCTAATACGGCTTGCTAGACCAAGCTGGTCTTAAATACCATTTGGCATGTACACGCGTAGGAGAACGTATGTATCTCCTTGCGCAATTGTCATTTTAAGTCTAAAGTTTCAAGATGGCTTTATCTTTTAAAGATAGTAGATCGCCAAATCTTTACAGCAAGCTTCTCTCAACACTCAGGGTTGAAATCGCAAGCGTTCAGGTATTTGTGCTCTAATTTCTTTAGTATAATTAATATTAAAGACGTGGCAAAACTACTTTACTAAGACGAATTTTGCACCAAAAAATATGCACTTCTTGTTGAATGAATATGATGTTACAGCACTTGTTAAGTACGTTAATGAAGCAAATAGCGGGCACGTAACAGTGACCTCCTATTAGCAGTTATAGCAGAAGGAAAACGAAGCTGTTCTCTTAACACATTAACACGTTGATAATGAAATATTTCTGAATTATACCAAACCCCTGATCGCGGACAGCCGATGCTAAAACCATCACATGAACTTTGGCCCTAATACAAAGTTAATAATTATTGCCAGATTATGGATCGTTGATTTAGGCAGCGCTTGACAATTCCGATCTCTTGGTAGACCAAGAGATCGCCGGCCACGATCGAGGGGCCGCGGCAACAACTTTAATAAATCGAATGACTTTTTTCGAAATCGATTTCGAATCTAAGTTAAAATAGGATACGATAAGTGAACGAAATAGAAGCATGTATGGCATAGATATTTTACACATTTATTGTTTGTTTAATGTTAATTTATTGAATTGATTTGTTGTATTTGAAAAAAAAAACTAGTACTATACCTACTAGATTGTTCAATGCCAAAGGTATTACAAAACAATTAATACTTACCATGCGTAAAGTAGGGTGCACATGAATCGAATTTCGTTATATTTAATCGCTTTATTAACTAATTCGAAATAAAAATTTACTTTCAAAACGAATAAATGAAAATATCTACGCCATGGGACCTGCTTCGTTCACCTGTACGCCCTATATTTTTCTACAGATATTGTCACAGTTATCTACAACTACACAAGATATTTTTTTATAAATTGAAGTGACAAACACACGAGCAATCTATTCGATGGTAAAGGGCTGCTATTGACATGGACACATTCAAGCAACTGCAAACAAAGAAGGCTAAAGATGTGTTATCACCTCATGTAATGCCTTACAATACAGCCTGTTGTTATACTGACTCTATTGACTGGTATCTACACGGTCGGTTTTGTGGACAGAAAATAGACCCACCACGAAACGACAAGTCATCGGAAAACATAGAAATGTCTTCTTTTTATATTAGTGACAGACGAGCTAAAAGGCCACAGATGCACTCCTGAGGACTAAGATGGAATACCTCATAGCCTGTAATTATTACTTGGTCAAATCTAAGCCAAATTTACTCTATTAGTAATTGGGTTATAATAATAAGAGATACTTAGACAATTCTATGCGCCCTAAAACCAACAAATTATGTTTTATATGCTTGAAACATTAATATATCAGTAACGTTGACGACATAAGAATTCATTAGAGCCTATCAAAAGTACAATACTAAACATAAGTCTCGCCATAGATTGGGGAATATTTGTCAGAGTGGCCTTTTGCAGATGGGTTGGTAACCACATTCTTATTTTTATTTTTTATTTGTTATTAATAAGACGCTGCTGCTTATTTTCTGGCTTAATTCACACCCACGGGACGATATGGGTTAGTGGATATTCTTACAACGCCACTACACGGTCTTCACATTACATAGAAAAGTTAATCCTAAAAACAGAAAGTGTTTCCATTTTGCAATATACTCGTACCTCCTAACCACACAAGATAACCATTTATGTTCATTGCTCTACAAATGTTCGTCCTTTTACACAAATGTTGACCTTAGCTGTTTCAAACCCTCTATTTCGGCTCAGTAGTGGAATTCAAATGCTAATGATAATAAAAGCAAGCTTATAAAACAAGGTAAATAAACATTACTTCCATTAATGCAAATAAATAAATAAGAACATGTTTACACACCACATGCAGGAGTTCCTCGAATGATCCATGTAATATAATATTATTATTTTTTATTTTACCTTACCTTTTATTCTACCTAAATTACGATTTTATGATTACAAATACTCGTGCAACATAGTTCAAGGTTAGATCCTTTTATTTTCCTTTTGCAATAACCGTGTTTCCTTAATTAAATAAATTCGCGCATGGCTGACTCTTTAACTTCGATTTGATTCCAATTCGTAATGAAGCTGTTCGCAGAAATTCAAATTGAAATGAACAATATTTTTCTATATTATTTATTGCAAAAAATAAAATAAGTTTTTTATTTAACAAAGGTTCGCAACTATTGTCAAATTTTGACTTTTAATTCTGGATTCAAATGTACTAGGCATTTTACAGTTGGTTATATAAAATTTTTCGTACACAACGTTTCCAATTTTAAGAATAGTTTTTTTAGTGCACACGATTTACGGCAACGTCAAAAAATCGAATGGCGAAAACATCTTTATAATGAGTTTAGGCTTCTTCAGGCTTGCATAAAACTTCTTTCAGTATTATTATATTAATCATAATAATTCGGTGCAATCAAATGGAAATTAATTTATTGGAGTATCCGGCACGGAAGCAATTAAACATATTAAAATAGTATGTCTTATTTTTTACTAATAAGGCCGCATTTATATAAATAATATACCAATACTGAATAAACTTAAATATAAAAATACACTATAGTATAAGATATTTCGAACTATAGAAACAGTACCCCAATACAAAAGTAACATTCAATAGGTAACAAGCGACTGTTAAAATTAAAAGAAGTGGATTTGTATCCGCCATTATATCGTTAACCACTGGTACTACAAACATTTTAAGCTAAATAGGGGTGGGTGGCTTTTGGGAATGCTATATAAAAAATAACCGTTGTGAAATTAATCAATAACATAACTTTGTTTACACACACACACACACACACACACACATATATATATATATATATATATATATATATATATATATATATATATATTTTTATTACCTACTTAAATATATTACTACTCGAATGTGTTTAAGAAAAACGATAAATACATATGTTAGTTAAATATGTTCGAATTAAAGTTATATTTAAAAGATTTATTGATAAAAAAACATATATTAATAACTATATCCTAGCTATCTAAGTACCTATATATAATTTCTAAGTACTTTTATAAACAGTGTTGTAATTTTCAAAAATATTAAAACCATTATTAAATCAAAAGTTATAAATATTATTTGAAATTATTTCCTTACCTCTATAAATATTTATCGGTACAATAATATGATAAACGCAAATGGAATAAAAATCACAACTGGCACAAATTAATGTCATCAATTAATCACAGTTCGATATTTAAAAATTTAAAATTAAGTTCGCTTATCAAACTTTGATCATGATCGGGTGGAGTGGACAATGAGGTAATAAGGAACGTAACTAACTGTCGGTAAGCACCAAACGCAAGCGCAACATACAATTCTACAGCGCAACACGTTTCCATTATATACATGAAACTTTTAGAACAGATAATAATTGACACTTTTAACTCGATGTAGTATACCAAAATTGAAAATATAGGTTATATTGATTTTTGATTAGCTAAGTAAAATGAGAGCCGTGGTAGCTCAGGTGTTGTAACGAGAGGCCTGTGCCCGGCATTGGGCTGTATATGGGCTATAAATTTAACTTTTAACTTTAATTCAAATGACAAAAAATTACTAGACTTGCAACCAATATTCGTCTATTATTTGGAATTCAGCTTATTCGGCTAGTTTTACCCTATTCCGTCAAAAACTGATTATCTAGGTATTATTTGACCGAATACCGAATACTTAATTAAAAGGTTTTAATGTAGTCTGGATAATTTGGTAAAATGAAAATATTTATTTATTTTTTCATTAATTATTTTCCGTATTATCGTTAAAGTTGTCCTAATCAACTATCATATTATGAAAATTAAAAAAAGAACTATCAGATGAATGTCTATGCGCACGAATTATCGTAGATAAAGTGGAAAATAATGATTCAGAAAGACTAATTTTTCTTCATCTTCTTTCAGGCAGTAGTTTACTACTTTTCTTCTCGTTGACTATCCCAGCTTCAGAAAAAAGACGTTCTGAAACATAAATACTACTTCCTTTGCGCTCGAATACTTTTGCCTAATATTCGGCTATTCGGCCATGAAGTGTGCAGAACATTCGGTATTGAGCATGCAGCCGAATATAGTATTCGTTAAGTCTATAAATTACAAATTGACGGCTCGTAATCGAAAAGACTAAGCTGAGGTTCGATTCCCGAAAATGCAATAATCAATAGTTTTTGGCCCATGAAAAATTTCCCTGAAGTTACAGCCTAAAAATTTTTACCTACCATCCAACAAAGTGCGTACAAATCATTCTGGGTAGTTTCATGAACCTCTCGTTGTCTATAACTGCATCCAGGACACGATATGAAACATTGTTACGTTATTATTTATGGTTGAGCGACGGGCCTAAGGTTACCGAATTCCAATTCCCCGGTCGAGCCTTAAGCCTATTACGCGAGATGTTACACCAAATGGACTGTATAAGCGGATGGCTTCTTCTGTCTCCACAAAATGGCGACTATAGCATGCGGTTTTCCTGACAATGCACTCGCTCTTCCCTAAACTAACTATTGCTTGCCAAAGTCTATGAAGGAACCCTGCTTGATCACGCTAGGAGAAAATGAAATTGGAGCGGATTAACTAATAAACACAATTATGTCAAGCAGGCTTATAACTGGAAGTTACTCACCGGGGTGTTGCTTCGATGCGGCTTGGGCGCTTTGTTGCTGCGGTGCGACTTCTGGCGGATTCTCTGGGGCCCCAGAGATGCTTTCCTGTCCGGTGATGCGATGGAAGAGAGCGGTGCGCGACTATTTCTCACACGAGGTGAGGCGGTTACTCCCGGAACTCGACTGCTCCGGGCTAAGGCGGTTGAACTAGCGGTGCGTGTGGGCAAAGCTCTCTAGGACTCGACTGTCCTAGGCGGTGTGGTTCCAACTGGTGCGCGAAGGGAAGAGAGAGCGCGTGGGCCGCGCGCGCGTTTATATTACTTCGGTTGCAAAGATCGCGTGACATTCTAGAACTATCTTCTTTCCCTTCTCACCCCACCACCCCGGTGTGTCGATAGGACGGTAGGATTTTTTTTGAAAGGACAAAACGCTTTGGCAAGCTTACCCTCGAATAAAATAAAATACGAATGGTTTTCCGCGCAACCATCCCCCCCGGCTTGAAGGATTTCCTTTAAAATAACTAAAACAACTAAACCTAAGATCAAACTAACAAAATAACTAACTAACGCTAAGATTAAACCTGAATTTCGACTACAATTTCTAATCTAGAAAGCTAATTTAAACTATGGGCAAGGGACACAAACGGATTGTGTTACTCGACAAGACCTAAAGTCCGCATTTACGAAAATGACTGCTTAGGACGTATCCG